TGAAGTCAGTATTCCCAAGATTTTTCTGAATATTATTATAAATATATTTTAAACAAAACTGGAGCAACTTAGATGACATGATTTTTTTTGTTTGTTTGGTTTTTTTTTTGTTTGTTTTTCTCTGGTTCCGGGAACCGAACTCACCACCTTGCGCTTGCCAGGCAGGCGCTTTTGCCGCTGAGCTAAATCCCCAGCCCCTAGATGACATGATTGATCCATTATCTATAAGTACAGATCTACACGATCCTTTTGTTATGATCTGTAAATCCCAATTCCTTGATAGGCAACATTTAATTTTCTCAGTCCCCTGTTGCAGAGCATGGTGATTGTTTCTGGCTTCTCAGTATTGTAAGCAAGACACTGATAAGCAGTCTTGTATTTTTATCTTTCATTTAGTGCATAAAGTAACTTTACAGTAGGAAGTAACAGTGACAGAAAATAGTTGGAAGAAGAGGACAGTGGTACCAGGTCTTGAACAGATTATAGACAGACCTGAGGTGTATGAGAATGCTCAGAAGATTAGGAAGCAGGGAAATAAAAAGATGGAACAGTAGTTCATTCCAGTACTTAAGTGTTACACAAGCAAGTAGTTTACAAAGAAGCCTGAAAAGAAATAGAAAGATAGGATGATGACACAGAGATTATGTTATGACAGAATTAAGGATTAAATAAAATTTCATGAATGGAGTGGTTTCCTGTGTCAAATGCTGCCACAAAGTTGATTAAGATCAACTCTTTGATTCAGTAGGCTTTGTTTTCCACATGATACATTGTTTTTTGTTTTTTAACTGAAGAGTGTATTCCTTTGCAAGCAATATTCTCAGCTACACCAGTTTTATTTTGCGTACCAAATGAAGGAATACTGTGGCAGCATTCACTATGGGCTCTCTAAAATGAAGAAATACATTGAAGGGTGTCTCCATGGATTATAGTGCCAGTTATAGCCAAATCATTAAAGTTCATAAAGCTTCTTTGAGTCTATCAAGACACAATAAAAACCAGTGAGGTGCAGATGGAACAACTGAGCTGTAACTACTTCAATGAAAGTGATACAGACCTACGGTGGGAAACTTGTATGGAGATTATCACTTGCAAGCACAATGTAATACTTGGTGATTCTTTCATTTAATTGCTTTTAGCATTGTTGACTAATGATGTTTTTCTAACTTTATTTCATAGTATTTGAATTTGATATTAATGTTGACAAATAGAAATATAAAAGTACATTGCAAATTTAACTATAGAAACAGTCTGTACCTTTTTAACATGTCAGAAGTGTTTTAATGAATACTTGAAAGGAGGCATAAATTTTCAATAGGAGACTAAATTTTGAGCACAACAAGCAGATTTATCATTTTGTAAACTGGCTTTAGTTAGATTCTGAAACCCTGTTCTAGTATTTGTAGCACCTGATCTTTGGACCTAGTGTTTCCTCTGACTGAAGTGCCCTGCCTCACCAAAGCCTCTTGCCCTTCTCCCGGTGCCTACCTAGTACCTATTCATCCTGTCTTCAGTTTGGCTACACTCTTGTGTATGATCAAACTAGAGATGAATTTGATGGTGGTAGAATTAAATTGTTTTACTATGAAAATGAGTACTGACCTGAAAAGAAATGAATCATGGGAGAAACGGTCAGTATTTCAGGATTTCCTCCCCCAGGCCTGTCTGTCTTCTGCCTACACCAGCAGGTCCTTCATTACTCACTTCTTCCTCACAGCTGCTTTCACCTTACACTCTCCTCCCTGCTTTTCTTAACCTGTAGACTTTTAGTATACAGTGGCCAGAAAGATGTGGAGAAGATGTCCATAATACACTGACAGCCATGCCCTAGGTAGCTTTAAAGTGATACCTAGTATAGATCCAGTTGGTTGGTTGTTAGGTAATGAGGTCAGTAGATCTTTACAGGGACATATGTATTAGAATAATCAAAAGAATATTTGCAAAGTAATAAATGTGGGCCTGACTGTCTTGGTTACTTTTCTCTCATTGCTGAGACAAAATACTTGATGCACAGAATTAAGGAAGGAAAGGTTTATTTAGCTCACAGTTTGTGGAGATTTCAGTCCATACTTGCCTGGCTCCAAGGCAGAGTGGCACATGGCAGTGGGGCAATAGCTCATGGCGGCAGAAAACAGCAAAGGCAACAAGAACAAAATGGAGGAGTGGCAGGAAGAGCAAGCGTCTTTCCCTTACATATGCAAACTACTCGCCCCAGAGTGGTTGTAGCTCTCACACCCAATCAATCAAAACTCTAAAAGCCTGCCCCATGACTGCTTGTGGCTTTGGGGGGACACGCAGACACAGACCATAACACTGACCTAACGACTACTGAATCGGAATATCTTACTCTGAATTTGAAAACTTGCCCAATACAGACTGTAAGAAGCGTAAAGTTGGGAAAAAATATTTCCCCTCTTTTAGGCCTATAAAACTTTTGTTTTTAAACAGATAACAACTGTGCCTTTCAATTTTATTCTGCTTAATTTTTTACTTGATTTCTGTACTAAGCTGTTGTCACTATTTTGGTGCCATTTTTCATTTTATATCTTTTTGAGTGATTTTGTACTATCTTTGGGGGAGGGGTGGGTAAATTGGGTGGGATTATGTAGAGAATGCTGATCAAATGAAATGTACTCTTTCAGTTTAGCTGTTTCCAATAACCAAATCCAAATGAAGTTGTGCACTAAAGTGATTTGGAAAAAGTGCTGCATTCAATTGTCTTATGCATTGTGAAAAATGTAGTTCAAAATCCAAATGATTGCTTAAAACTTATGAAATTGAATTTGATGGATTTTTAAAAATTGTACATTCTTTCTAAACTAAAAGTACATTTTAAAAAGCAATTTTACATTGCCAACTATTATTAACTTGTTCTAGCTACTAAATAAAATATTTCTCCTTTGAGATATATGGAAAGTAGCTGAGTCCTTCATTAAAGATTCCATCAAACTGTCAGTACAAGTAACTGCACTTACTAGTGTACTTTCTCATATCAAAAAAATCTCCTTGTTCTATTACTATTTTTGACATAAATGTTGATTTTTGGCAGAAATGTTGACCTCTTACATGTACACTTATTTTCAAGAAAATTAACATTCACAAACTGACATAGCAGTAGTCTTTTCTTTATAAAAAAGGACTTTATTGTGTTGTTCAGTGTTGGTTACTTTGTTGATGCATTAAAACAGATATTAAATTTTATCATTAATTCAGTGCCTGGTCTCTCATCAAATCCCCTTAATTACAAATTGACTCCAAGGATTAGACAGCGTGGATTTTAATTTTAACTGAAACAAAAAAGGCATCTTGGAAAATCACTCTTGCCTACTGACTCAGAGACACATTTTTAAGTATCCTATACTTTTTGCTTAGTATATTTAAAATTCAATATAAAAAATATTGACAACATTTGTGTTGTTTTGTATGCATAGTAGACATATTCTTAGAGTAAACTCAGTGTTGAAAAAATTCTGTGTATTTCATATGAATAACAGCTTCTGGGAGTTTTTATAACTTGTAGCCTTTTCTTTAGAAAATGTTAACTTTGAATCTTACTGTATCTGAGTGGCATTTATACTATCTTGTATTTCTGTTTCCTTCATAATTTCATGAAATTATGCAGTATGGTTTTATATTGCATGGAAGTGTTTCCAACAAAACCCAGTATCCTATTTCCTATATTGTTTGTGGGTTGTACTTATGTAGTTAAGTCATCACTTCCTTTTGATACAAGTATTTTAAGTCCACAATCATTTTTATACATTTTAGTCCTAAAATCTATAAGCATTTCTGTCCATCTTCCTATAAGTGACAATTTTAATTGAATTTTATTACATAAATTTTTTGCCTTAGATATTAAATTGACTATTCCTTTTTGCCGTAACAAGAAGATAATGAAATTAATTCACAATCACATGATTCGTAAATGTATATTTGTCCATTGCATTTTTGCTTCATAATACAATGGTCAGCTTTTATTCCAAGGGACCTCTAAAAATTCACTTATTCTAGTCGTTTTTAAAATCTAGTGTGTGTTAGTTACTTGGTTGATTTTTATCTAGATCTGTAATTTTTCAGGTGATTACTTTTAGAAAGATCAAGAAAAAATTACAAGTAAGTCCTGATCATTCTAAGGTAAAGCATTTGTTCTTAATAAATTCTATTGTGTTAATTACTTTCAACTTTTGAGAGGTTACAAAATTTGTAGCAGTCCTTCCAATGAAGCAATTTTTTGTATACCTTATATTTTTTGTAAATTTTATTAAGTGACATTCCTTTACCAGCTTTTATTGCTGTTAAGCTGGATTTTTTTATGCAGAAAGATATTTAGCGTACAAAAGAACTCAGCTTGTCATAGCAGAGGAAAAAATAACTTGCCTAGAAATGGATTGTTTATATAATATTAGATGGTAATACAAACCAACAAAAGCAAGGAAATTAACTTCTAAGGCTGACACACTGGCCTTTGCTTGCTTCTTTGTGCCTGAAGGTATCATGTGTGTTATACTCCCAAAGTACAGTGGACTCAGGAACTGTCAAACTTAATTCTAAATTTCTTTGGTTTGTTGGTTTATGTCACAATTTAACATTATTATTTTATTTCAGTGCTATATAATGTCTTTCACGTGAGATAAAGTAATACATGGGTAGATCTGAACAAGCTGCTAAAGTTTACTTTTTTTCATTTATAGATGATTGTCTGTGTTAGCCAAATACACAACACTAGTATTTTCACATTTTTAAAAAAGGCAGTGTAAAAGAAAGCTATAAAATATTTGAGGATTTTTTTTTAAAAAACTGTACATGCTGATAGAAACTTCTGCAGTTTTAATTTTTATTCCTGTTGATTTTTATTTTATCATTTAAAAATCATATTTCTATTGGAGCAATGAGAAACTATTAATGCTTTATTATGAAAATCAAATACACAAGTGTGATTTCATAGAACAGTTCTTTTCTGGAATACACAGAAGAATTACTTGTAGAATTCTGAGGGTGAGACTAAAAGCTCTCAAAATTACACTCAAGATTATTCTGTGACCTGATGGATACTTGGACGCTCACTTACTAGCACCTGCTTCTTCATGTTTATGGTAAAATGTGAAGAATTCATCCTGCTTTAGTTTTCATATTCACCTTTTACATAAAATCTCATCAGTTACTAATGAATTTTATGCCTCCATTTTGGAGGCTGTTTTATGCAATTATAGGGACTAGGTTATTATTTCAGTGTTAGAAAATTACATTTATGAATGAAAGTTCTGTGTTTTTTATAGCAATTTGAGAATTACAGTGTTTTCCTTGCTTTTTCTTGTTTTGTGTTTCTGTATAGGTAACGATTTCTAATTTAGGTAATCTGTTAGAGTATATTTTTCTAAAAAAGAAAATACATATCTTTATTAAATCTGAACTTTTTTAAGATTCTTCTTTTTATTTGTATGTTACTCAGAAATAAATCAGGTATCTTCTGTAAAAATTATCCGACTCAATAAAAACCTACTTATGTTAAACAAAGATTTTTTTTAGTAGAGGGGGGGGAAACTTTACACTTTTGTCTTCTGTTGCAAACATTTAGTTCTGTTTTCTTATTTTATATATTTTACCCCATATATGTGCATAAAGGGTAATGATTTATATAATCTATATATAGTACTCTAACATACCAATTTTCTAAAGATTTCTTCTCATTACTCTTTCTGCTTCTTGTTCACTGACTAAATTGTGAAATGTGGTGAAAACTAAAGAAATTACTGTAAATTGTGGTGGAAAAGGGAGTATTAGTGGTGGTGGTAAGTTTTCAAGATATTCAACGTTTTATTTTGTGCAATTAAGGTTTAATTGGCTACATTTAAAACTAGTGAAAAATGATTATTTGCTGGAGATTTGCAAAACAATACTTTAAGCTCTTACTTATTCTGAGGTGTTGAAAGGTGAAACATTTGACATTTTCTTTTTGGCCATTGCTTTAAAAAACAGAGGGCGGGAAAGAGGCGTTGCCACATCAGAGTTGAGGGTGTTTGTGGTTGTCCGTGACAGCAGCTCCACTTTTAAAACACCTGTGTTTACTTTCCAGCTTTTCAGAGTCTGCCTGAAAGTGGCCTAAGAATGGCACAGTCTTTCACGATGGCTGGTTTTTATAGTAGAAAGGGGAAAAAAAACCAATGTTGACATTTTTGTTTTTTGTTGCAAGCATTTAGTTCCCTTTTCTTATTTTATACATTTTATCATTAGATCATAGATGCATAAAGTAATTATGATTTAAATAATTTATGCATGATAGCATACCCATTTTTATAGATATATTCTCATTACTCTTTTTAATTCTTGTGCACTGACTAGAAAATAATTGGTTAAAAGAGCTGTTAAGAGTCACTGTGCACTTTTTTTATAATGAAAAGAAGTTTGTGAAAGCATGAAAATTAATATCTTTTGGGAGAGAAATGATATGGGGAGAAAATTACATGAGCCAAATGTGTCCTAGCATGTAATATATTATTTTGCTGATTTTTTAATCCTCTAGGAGGAATTTCTCAATCTTTAATATTGGTATTTTTTGCTTTATACGGATTAGTTTTTAAAATACCTTTATAAATCTACACTTGTAATTTTCCTTTTAGTGTTGTTTTGTCTTCTTTATTGGTTTTAAACTTGACTGACCCTTCACCTTACCTATTATTTATTAGCTGATCATTGTTTCCAATTTAGAGATACGTTCTTTTCCTTACATTTCTTACTATTGTGTGATATTCACCCGATAGCTACATGTCATGTAAACTTTCTTATTCTCAACTTGGAAAGTTCCTTTCTATGACATTTTGGTTGAATAAATTTGAGGAGTTTTTTTGTTTTTTTAGTTTTAATCCTTTGAATTTGTTTAGATATAGTTAATGGTCATTTATTCTCTAATGCATCCCCTCTGTATTTAAATTCCTGACTATAGTAGCAGGACATTTCTGTGAGATGATAGTTACTGTGAAGCCTGATTGATGTGCAAGAAGAACAATTCAGTATTTACACTTTAATCTTTATTTCTCCATTTACCCTTTTTGACATTTTGTATATTGGAGTTCCTTTTGAATAAATTTGGTGTAGACATCTATCCAGGTGGAGAATATACAGCTGTAGACAGTACCTTAATAGAATTATATATAATAATAATATGTATTACCTAGATGATAATGAACCTTGAGAAAAATACATAATAATTGGGTTTTAAAAATATTCAAGCACTTGGTAAAGAAAAATAAAAATGATTTTTAAACATAGAAAAAGCAGTAAATTATATAACAAGTAACTAGTAGATTAAGGATTTATAACAGTACTTTCTATAGTTTAACATGGATGAGAAATACTTTATTTTGGTTAGATGAAACTACTGAGAAAAAATATAATTTTTTTTGAAGTCTTTCATTTTATTTTTTTCCTCACTGATGATGAGGAAGTAAAGAAGAGAAAAGATTCTTTTCAGGCTGTTAGTACATTTGTTTCCAGAAACTCAAATTGCTTAACTTAAATCACGAAACCTGATACAGTATTTCCATTGGGCGTGTCAGTTTTGTCCTGGTGACAATCCCATTAAGTAGTACTATGTATCTGTAAGTTTCAGCCTACTTCAGGTCTATTCCTTTTATTGTGTTATATAGGATTTATAATTTTCTAATGAAAATTTTATATTTATATCTGTCTTTAGCATATTTTTAACTTTCCTGTTTGTGAGAGTATCTCTCTATGTGTTTGTAGTCAGTTTTCTTAGTTTGAAAGCTATCAGTCTTAAGTTTGGAGTGCAGTTTTTATAGTATTGGTTTAATAATTCATATTTCTCTACAACTAATAATTTCCAGTGACACTTTAAAGGGGAAATGGGAACACTTTAAGATCCAAAATATACTCTAAAATAAATAAATAAAATGAGAAATTAAGATAATTGAACCAAGAATAAAGCCCAAAATATAACATATAAAATACGGAATGTTACTTGAAGAAAAATATATGTATACATTCCAATTAGACATAAGTATGAACAGAAAAATACTAAATCAATGATTTTGCAAAATGTTACGTAGCAATTCCCAAACAGTATGTAACAGTTTAAAAAATACTGTTTGACTCTCAGGATTAAACTTACCAATGCTTTTGAAGAACTGTAAATTTTGTTTAAAAAGAAAACTGAATTTTTAAATGCCTGTAAGCTCTTTTATTTCAACCATTATGTACCGTTTTTTTTTTAAAAAAGTGTATTAGTATATTTACTTGCTGTAGTACATTTTAAAAGTTGAATATATTTATTTCAGATTGTATTTGTTTGTTTTGAGGATCAGAAAAACCATACTCTAAGTTTCTTAGCCAGAATAAAAGTTATTGTTCATGTAACTGAAAAGAACAAGGGTAGGTCTAACTTCAGAGATTCCAGCCAGTCTTTCCTGTCTACATGTTTTGCATCTGTGGATTAATCCAACTATGGGTTGAAAATGTAGTTAGGCCTACAGTGATTGCATCTGTACTGAATGTGTGCAGAATTTTTGTCACTTTTCCCTAAACAATATCACAACTATTAATTATCTATACAGGGTTTATATTTCATTAGGTATTATAAGTACCTAGAGATTATTTTAAAAATATAAAAGGATGTGAATGGGCTATATCTGTGAAAATAGTACCATCCTCAGGTTCTGGGCACCGTAGATTTTGGGTATTTAGGAATTAGTTCCCTACAGATACCAAGCTATGATTTTGCTTTTGATTCAATCAACTTGAGGTATAATATACATACAATAAATTATATCCATTTAAAATATATAGCTCAGTCAGGCGTGGTGGCGCACACCTGTAATCCCAGCACTCAAGAAGCTGAGGCAGGAGGATCATTGTGAGTTCGAGACCAGCCTGGGCTACAAAGTGAGCTCAAGTCCCGCCTGAACTTCATAGCAAGACCTTGTCTCAAAAAGAGAAAAAAGAAAGCTGTATAGCTCAATGCATTTTGACAGATCTGTATCTACCGTAATGAAGATACAGGGATTTCTGTCACCCCACCAAGATTGTGTGTGCTGCTTTCAAGTTAATCAGTGCCTCTTATGCCTAGACTGAAACCACCACTAGACTGCTTTTTTGTCACTGTAAATTCATTTACATTTTCAAGAATGCTATATAATGAAATCTGTAATATGTACTTTTATGTCTGCCTTCTTTTAGCATGATGAGCTTTAGGTTCATTCATACTGTGTTGTAACTGTAGTTTATTCCCCTCTTATATCAAGGGAATCTGCTTCCCAATTGAAATCTAAAAGTGAAGAGATTATTTGTCCAAAATAGAAGCAAAAATCCTAGAATTAGGTCTTGTTAACTTTGATTAGACTGCTAGGGGCCATTTGCTTGACTACTTACTTTTAAAATAATTGCTGTGGGTAAAGGAATGAAGTATACTAGACCACCTTAGGATAGTCTGAGTCTGCTCTTAAAATTAGGTTATGTAACAGGAAAAAGATATCTTCTCTTCTTTTCTTTAAAACAAAGATGTTTTCTAAAAGAAATCTGAAACACTTGTTTACTCAGAAGAACTAAGAAGAAAGGGTGTTGGGGAGTGAAAGAACCTAAATTGTATTTCCTTTGTAATAATATGTATTCTTTATATGACTAACAATTGTATGCTGTCATATAATGAAACAGAATTTAGTTTTTATCCCTTACCTTTCAGTCATTAAATAATGATAATCACAAGCTTAAAATACGTATATGTATATGTATATCAACATATATACATATATATTTTACCTACAAGGGTGGTCTGTTTTGATATCTGTAGATTTCCACTTGGATTCCTCTGATCATCTACATCGTTATTTTTTTCTGTCAATTTTTTAAAGTGTACATTCTATGTTCCATCTTATGAGTCGTGTGGGTTTTTGTTTTTTTTTTACAGTCTGGCTTTGTAGTTCAGACTGGTCTTGAAATCACTATGTAGCCCAGGCTGGCCTTGAACTCACAGCACTTCTCCCCTCCTCAGCCCCCATGTGCTGGGATTACCGGTGTGTGCCACCACACCCAGCTTGAGTCTTGATTTGTGATTCTGGAGAATCCTGCATTCACAATAAAAATC